TTGACTATCCAACTCATATGCCTGCCACCACTGGTAGGTTGCTCCTCTAAACTGGAATGTCGTGAAAGAAACCCCACTGGAATCCACAATACTCATGGTACGAAGGATACAGTGACATTCCTCTAGAAAACCCTGAGCATCCTCTGAAGCTAAACCGCTGAAAGTGGGAGGGTGGTACTTCTTATACCTCTCGAGCCTGAGTTGCTCCCCCTCTGAAACTGTTGTCCTAATTTCAGGATGAATTGGGATAACTGGTTGCACTGGTATAACCTCTGGGGCACGGTCAACTTAGGCCCATGGCTCTGGAGTACGGGCGGCGGGAATCTGCACTCCTCCCCCAGCCTGAGATGTGGCAGGAGCAAGTGGAATTAATCCTGCCTGAGCTAAAGTGCCAAACATGCTCAAAAACTGGGCAAGAAGTCTCATGAAGTGAAGGAGTAGTAACGGGCGTCTCAGGTGCCTGCTCTCCAACTGGAGCTACTGGTGGCTCTGGTGCAATAGCTCGTGCAGGTGCTCTGTCTGCACCACGTGGTCTTCCTCGACCTCTGACTCGGCCTATGCCCCGTCCCCGGCCTCTTGCGGCTCCAACATGGGGTGCGGGTGTCTGATTATCAGATCTAGTTATGCGTGTCCTCAACATCTGTGAGAGAATAGAAAGATAATTGTTTAGAACTTTGAAATCAACAAAGGCGCACGATAAGGAATCAAAGAAGTGAATATTTCCTAACAGTTCTATAGCCTCTCGAAGATAAGTACATACGTCTCCGTACCGATTCGTAAAACTCTACTAAACCTGCTTGTGACTCATAACACCTATGAATCTAGTGCTCTGATACCAACTTGTCACGACCCCAAATTCCCTCTGTAGGATGTCGTGATGGCACCTAGTATCTAAGACTAGGTAAACCTATTAATACGGAATAATAATAAATATCTGAAATAATTAAACTACAATTCAAACAATTTCAACTCCCAAAACCCGGTAGAAATAAGTCACAAGCTTCTAAAAATTTTATTCTCAATGTCTCTATATATCAAGGTCTAAAGAAAATAAGGAAGCAACATAAAAATGATAGAAGGGGACTTCGGAGTCTGACGCTGACAGATATACTTCGAAGTCTCCGTGCGCAGGTAACCCATTGACATCTAGGCTGGTAAGATGTACCTGGATCTGCACAAAAAGATGTGCAGAAGCGTAGTATGAGTATACCACAGCGGTACCCAATAAGTGCCAAGCCTAACCTCGGTAGAGTAGTGGCGAGGCCAGGTGAGGCCCTACTAGAATATAATAATGGCATGGTAAAATGTTTAACAATATAGTAAAATAAAATGACATTGTAAATGAATCAAGTAGTGTGTCACCATTTAATTAAGCAAAATAATAGCAAATATTATCTCGTGGAAACAAAACCGAATTTCCTTTCAACTTTAAGAAAATCACAACAGATAATCAAGGCAACTGCGGCCATAAAATCAATATCAACAAAGATACTCTCGAGATACCGCCTCGTAGTCCCAAATCATAAATAAATTCATAAATATCTCATTTCCTTATCTCACCGCGGGAGCCTTCACAATTTATTTAAAAGAAAATATTTTTTCCGAAATAGCATCCCGCGTTTTAGCCATCCTTATCACACCGCATGACTTCTAGTAGTTCCCCCTACTAGCCACGCGTATCAAGCCACCCTTATCTCACCGCATGCGTTTCAATACCCAGACCTTATACTACCGCATGCATATCAATATCACAATATATCATAATTTGCACCTCAAGTGCTCAAATAATGTAACTTGCCAAAAATAATCCATCAATAATATTTTTTCATAATAAAGAGCTCACGGCTCCATCACAATGAGTACAAAAATCTTACAAAATATTCAAGAATAAATAATTCAGGGAAATAATATTTCAAAATCTTTAATACGTTCCTTTAATATCAAATTTAAAATATCAAATACTTCATATTAATAATGTTTAATTTAAAGAAAATCATCCTTCAAGTAATGCACAGAATAAAAAAAACCAAGTTTCAACTAAACAGGTATAACAATTAGCAGGAAAAGGTCAAACAAATTTAAGGTATATATCTCGGATCAATGATGAAGAATATAACAAGATCAAATAATTTAATAAATGCGCAACAATGATCTACACAATTTAAAAATATAATCTTTCACATTTAGCCCTTGTACACACTTGTCACCTCGAGTACACGACTTTCAACATATTTTAATAATCACATAAATATCAATTATAGGGAAAATTTCTCCCACATAAGGTTAGACAAGTCACTTACCTCGACTTGCTCCAATTTAACCAAGTAGTATGCTTTTTCCTCAATTTTCCGATTCTGATCGACTCGTATCTAGTCATAATTAATTCGATATATTCAACAAAAATTATAGAATCAATTCCATAAGAAAATACTATATTTTTCAATAAAATCCGAAATTAACTCAAAAATGGCCCTTGGGGCCCACGTCTCGGAATCCGGCGTATGTTACGAAATATGAATGCCCATTCAACTACGAATCCAACCATACCATTTTTACAAAAAATCTGACATCAACTTGACCTCCAAATCTCAAATTCTCATTTTGAAATCCCTAGACCCAAATTCTCTAATTTCACCTCAAAAACATGTAATCTATTCGAAATATTCAATGATAATCCAATATAATTGACTAACAATGATCAAATGTGACTTACCTCAAGTTTTCCAGTGAATTCTCTTTGAAAAATCACCAAAAACCGTGTTGAAAATGTCCAAATGACAAAAATATCGGAACCCCTCTGTTTTTGTAATCTGGTCAGTACTTTCGCATATGCGGACAAAATTCTCGCAGCTACGGTCCCGCATCTGCGAAAATTGCTCAGCCCAGCTGCCTTCGCTTCTGCGAGCTTTGGACCGCATCTGCGCCTTCGCAGGTGCGGAAAGTTCCATCGCACATGCGGACCTGCCCGCACCTGCGCCCTTCCTCTCGCTTCTGCGCAACATGAGCCGCATCTGCGGCTCCAACTGGGCAGCCCTTCGTCCGCTTCTGCGAGTCCGCGCATGTGGTCAGTCCCTCCGCAGGTGCGATGATACGAGAAGCTGCAAATCTCAGAATTTGCCTATGTCCAAAAATTGATCCGATTTCGATCCGGATCGCACTCGGGGTACTCGGGACCCCGCCCGAAAATAGCAACAAGTCCTAAATCATCATACGAACTTAGTCGAGTTTTCAAATCACATCCAACAACACTAAAAATACGAATCACACATAGATTCAAGCCTAATAAATCTTAAGAATTTTAAACTTCTACATTCGATGTCGAAACCTATCAAATCAAGTCCGATTAACCTCAAATTTTGTACACAAGTCATAAATGACATAACGAAGCTGTTAAAATTTTCAGAATTGGATTCTGACCCCGATATCAAAAAATCAACTCCCCGGTCAAACTTTCAATCTTAAATTCCTATTTTAGCCATTTCAAGCCTAATATCACTACGGACTTCCAAATAAAATTCCGATCACGCTCCTTAGTCCAAAATCACCATACGGAGTTGTTGGAATAATCAAAATTTTATTCCGGGGTCGTTTGTACATAATTCGACATCCGATCACTATTTGAATTTAAACTTTTAATTTTTCTTCAAAATTCCATATCTCGGGCTAGGGACCTCGGAATTTAATTGCGGGCATACGCTCAAATCCCAAATCACGATACAGACCTACCGAAACTGTCAAAATACTGATCCGAATTCATTTGCTAAAAATGTTGACCAAGGTCAACTCAGTTGAGTTTTAAAGCTCGAATTCACATTTTAATTTATTTTTTCGCATAAAAACTTTTCGAAATTTTTTTCGGACCGCGCACGCAAGTCGAGTAATGATAAATAGGGCTTTTTGAGGTCTTAAAATACAGAATTAACTATTAAATTTAAAGATGACATTTTGGGTCATCACATATATCTTAACATGAAATAGACTAACAATATATTATATTTCATAGTGTTTCCAATAAATATGTTACTAATGGAAATTCTATATGTTCAGCATGGGAAATAAAAAGATCTTGATGGTCGGAAATGAAAATACCAAAATTCACGCTAGGTATTTTTAAGGATAAATAACTAAAAATACAAAGGAGAAATTTACACTAACTTTATTTTTTAAAATATATGATTCAAGATTTTTTAAAAGTTAAACTATACGAAAGAATCTTTGTGTTATCTGTGTAATTCCATTTTAATGTGGAAATAATATGTTGTTTGATGTGAAAAAGAATAAAAATATTTAAATTTGAATAGAAAGATAAAAAAACTTGAATTTTAATTTAAATTGAAAGAAAATATATTTGAACTGAGATAAAAAAAAAGTGGTTTAATAGAAAGTATGGTTTGATTCCTTTGTCGCTCTTTAACCTTGTCATATTTGATTGGGTATAAAATATTGGTTTGGTGAAATGGGTCTATTATTAAAGAAAAAGGAGCTTTAATGACCTGGCAGGCCAAGTAGGATAGAGGTTTAGTAAATTATTACATATAGCATATTTTGGGTTTAGAGGAGGACTCTTTGAAGTCTTAGTAGGCGTTTGGACATAAGAATTGTAAAATTCGAAAAAATGGCAAAATAAATTTTTTAGTAAAAATGATATTTGAAATTTAGAGTTAGTGTTAGGACATAAATTTTAGTTTGGGTTGTTTTTGAAGTTTTGTGAGTGATTTGAGTGAAAATCTTGAAAAACAGTTTTTTGTATTTTTTTAAATTTTTAAAAATTTTCAAAATGCATATTCAAACGAAAATTGAAAATTTTATGAACAAACGCTGATTTCGAAATTTATTTTTTGGAAAAATTTTTCATCAAATTTTATGTCCAAACGGGCTCTTAGAATCCGCCTCTGGTGTTCCCAGAGCATAGTTCAAGACTTCAAGTGTATAACAGCAAATCCGAGACAGGTTCAAAGACATTTTTATGCATTTTCACTCGTTAAAACTTAGCTAATTTTGATTTATAAAACAAACTGTAAAATATCTAAATTTTCTTCGAAATCAAATTTGTAAGCGTTTTATTTAACCCTCAACCAGAAAATTAAAATGAACATAAAGGAAGAAATCGCCAAAACCTCCCTTCCTGTAAGTTCTCCCGCCCTTTTTTTCTTCGTTTCTTACAAGACGGAACCCTAATCCATTTTTCAATTGATTTTTAGTAAGTAAATATATAGATTGTAAATTGGGTTCTGAGTGTACATTTATCATTAATATTTTGAGTTCTCTACTTAACTAATGCAGGTTGTTGAAGATGGTTGAAACACTTTTCGAAGATATATTTACTGTTACTCAAAAGGATCCTGATGGTAAAAAATTTGATAGAGGTATGCTCAAATTAATCATTTTTTGCTCGGTAAACAGTTGGTAATCGAATGAATTTTTAAAATATGAGCCAACACGCAATCTGTAGATGTCAATGTTGATGCTGTAACTTTGGATTAATCAGCTAGATACTTTTACCATTGCAATTCTTATTTACACGGTGGAGTACAGACAAGCTTGTGCGCATCTCGACTATTTCAAACTGGATACCTGCTACCTCCCACTAGCATAGGTACCGGGTTACTGTGCGCACCAAAGCTTGTTCAAGATGAGAGGAAATCACCTAGTATTTTTTTGTCTCTTATTTTGTTTCCACTGGGATATGAACCTAAGACCTTCTCCTCCCACTTCATTGACCACCAAGCTACACCCTTGAGTGCAATTTTACCATTGCAATTTTATCCGAAGGAAAAGTGAAAAGATGGTCATGGTATCCCACTTGAATGATAAGTTTGAAGAAAATTAACTAAGATAGTTTGTTCACAACAGACAAGGGATGAAGTTCTCCTTGTGGAGTAATGCAATTAGGAGAAAGAGCCCCCAAGGCTTTGGTCTAGTAGTAAGAGTGTAACACGTGATGTGTGCTGACGCACGTCACAAGTTCGAATCTTGCCGCAAACAACCTGATATTTTAGTGGAGAAGGGTAGAGGGCTGATATTTTAGTGGAGAAGGGTAGATGGGCAGACTCATTATCTGTCAAGCTTCGATCACTGTACACCACTGGCCGTCGGGGATTTCTCAGTTGTCAAAAGAAAAATTAGGAGAAAGAAAAAGAAGGTGGTGTTTAGAAAACTAGCCTTGATACCTGGCCTTTAATAAGAAAAAAGAAAAGAGGAAAAGGTAATCATGTAGTTGACTGAAAATGCTCCAGATGAATTGTGATAAAGTTTTGTGCCTCTGTAATGGCTTTCTTAGTCTATCCATATTTGCACTTCATAGTCTTCATATGACGGGCTGAGGAAGTATAAAATATAATGTTAGTGCAGTTTTCTTGGGAAAGCCGATTTGTGGCATATGACGGACGGACTAAATCTGGTTTATTGTTGGCACCATAAATTATTGAACTGCAGTAACACTTCTTTTCTGCAAATGATGTGATCTAATATCATGTGCATTTTTTAGTTAATCGCATTGAAGCACGGAGTGAGCAGTTTGATATGTACATGCTGTTGGATGTGAACACTGAGATATATCCTATGCGCGTCAAAGAGAAATTTATGATGGTTTTAGCATCTACTTTGAACTTGGATGGGACACCAGATACAGGTTATTTCATTCAGGTAATTTGCTGTAATGATTTGTCTATCCTTCTAGATTTGCAATAGTGCTACCTGACTGATATAATTCTAATTCTGTGATTTACATAATCATAAAGATGGTATCTGAAGTAACTTGAAGTTTCAGAGATATTCCTACACAGTAGGCCTTACTAGTCAAACTGCATTAGAAAGATTAAGAAAAAGAAACTGAAAGCAATAAATCTAGTCAAATTTGAGGGTGTTTAACTTACAATGATGAATCACTTTCATCAAGTAATAAACATCAAATGCCTTTCTAATCTTTTCCAATATATGTATATACCTTTTTTCAAAGAAAACAACTTGCTATATACTGGCATTTGGAATGTACTTTTTTTTCATTTGAAGGAAAAAAATATATATCTGAAATAAGTGAGCGAGCCCTTTTAAGAAAATACTTTAGTTCCGTAACCTTGTCTATCTGGAAGTGTTTTTTGAAATCTCATTTGCTAGACAGCTAGTTTATTAACTAGAACTAGAAACTAACGAAAATATCAACTTTTTTGTGATTTCTATTTTTAACTTTTTTATATGTCATAGGATACATTTTTGTTCCATAGAGCCGTGGTTTATTAAAAGTTGGAAGAACCCCGTGTACAAGCTGAATACCAAAAAAAGGGAACCTACACCAGAATATTGTTCTCAACAAAAGAGGCCCAATTCTCAATACAAATAGGAACCTCATGAGCACACCAAAAATAAAAAAAAAATAAAAACGAAAGGCTACTTTGCAACTTCACAAAATCTTGTTCCAACCCTTCAAATGCCCTTCTATTTCTCTCTTTCCAAATATCCCACATAATTGCCAGGGGCATCACACATGCCCTTGGCCTTCTCTTCCCCCTCCTATGTGCCCAACTATGCAACGCCTCTTTCACTATGCCCGCATCACCCGTTGCTCCCCAAACAAATTAAGGACCACTCTCCACAAACAAGTTGCCACTTGACAATGCAACGGGAGATGATCTACATTTTCGCCCGAGCTTTTGCTCATGAAGCACCAGCTAACATATGTGATCCTCCTTTTCTCAAATTTTCCGCTGTCAAAATCACTCCCCTTGCCGCCGACCATGCAAAGAAACACACCTTTCTTGGTACTTCAGGAATCTTAATAGAGCAATGAGGGAAAATATATTCTTCTCTCCCTAAATAACCTCTTATAAAAAAACTTAACAGTGAATAATCCATCTCTACTCTCTCGCCATCTCCATGCATTCAACATAATGTTCGGTGTATCTAACCCATATAATATCTCCACCAAATTTTGAAATTCTTCCATCTCCTAGTCCTATGAGTTTCTCCTGAATCTCAAATCCTAATGAACTACCCCCTCATGAGACCTATAAATTTGTTGAACTGTCATCTCTATATAAATTAGGAAAGGCTTCCCTCAATTCATTCTCACCGCATCACTTATGCGCGCAAAAACTAATCCTGCTTCCATCCCCAACCCTAAAAGAAATGTGTCCCATGAAGTCTTCCAACCTATCATAATACTTCTCCATAAACCACACCCAAATGGTGTTGTTATATTTTTGGTCCTCCAACTCCCTTCGATAATACCATATGTTTCCGCTACCACCTCCCTCCAAAATGCATTCTCTTTCCCCTTAAATCTCCATATCCACTTCCCTAGCAAAACTTTATTGAAAACCTTGAGATCTTTCACTCCGAGTCCTCCCCATTCCTTTGGAGAAGTGACAACCCTCCAATTCACTAATTGGTACTTTCTTACTCCTTCCGATGTGTCCCATAAAAAGTTGCGCTGAATTATTTCCAACCTTCTAGTCACTTTACCAGGTTTCTGCAAGAGAGACATGAAATACGTAAGTATGCTAGAAAGGGTGCTTTTGATCAAAACTTCCTTCCCTCTTTTCGACAAGTACCTCTTTTGCCATCCTGCTAGTCACTGCTCTACCCTCTCAATCACCGGATTCCACACTGCAAGATCTTTACTCGAAGCACCCAACGGTAGTCCCAAGTAGGTAGTAGGTAAAGTACCCACCTTAAAATTCAACACCTGCACAATCTCTTCAATATTATCCACTTCTCCTACCTGTGTGATCTCGCATTTTCTGAGATTGATCTTAAGACCTCCAATGAACGCCCTATCCATCATATTGCTCAATGCTTCCATCACCAAAATGAATTATATAGGGGATAAAGGATCCCCTTGTGTCAAGCCCCTTGAACTCCCAAAGAAACCACATGGACTCTCATTCACCAAAACAGAGAATGTAGCAGTAGAAATGCAAAACTTAATCCATCTCCTTCATTTGTCCCCAAACCCCATCTTCGACATAATAAAATCCAGGGAGTCCCAATTCACATGATCATAAGCTTTCTCAGGGTCCAACTTACAAAGAATTCCCAGAAGTGAACACCGTCTCATCTAAAACCTTTTTTAGTCTGTTGAAAAGCACCTTAGAAATAATCTTATAGATGCTTCCTACCAGACTAATAGGTATAATCCTTGATACTCGTTGCTCTTTCCAATGAATGAAGCGTTAAGGCTTCTCTCGAACCCTCCAGAATCTTGGAAATCCGCAATGGTCTCCATCAACTCAACCCTTAACTATCCTCCAACATTGTTGGAAAAAAGCTAACGTGAATCCATCCGGTCCCGGAGCCTTATCTCCTGCACAACTCACCGCTGCTTCCCTCAGCTCCTCCTCTTCTATTGCCCTTTCCAACCACTCTCTCATCCCCTCCCCTGTTTGACTAAACACTTCCCTCTCCTCTTCTTATTGTACAGGTTCTGATGTCTGGTTCATTAGTTCTAAAGTAATTGTCAGGACAAACACATTGTATCTGCCAGTGAAGGGTATAATCATTTGATGTTGCCGTGTGCTGGATTTTATTCCGATTCACCACTGAAGGATCCATCTATAGTTATATTTGTATGTTAACGAAATGTTGTTCCTTGGACTGTCCTTAGGATTTCCTTAGCATTTGAGAAAGCAAGAGGACGTGAAATCAAGGAAAAGGAGGCCAAAATAGATAAGTATGGGAAGAAACCACTATGACATATGTGAGAATTTCTGTCATATGTAGGAGTAATGAATGCTACATAGCTTTAAGTTCTGAGCATCCAGGGAAAGAAAACTTGCTTTTCATTTGTTATATGTAAGATGGCCTTTGATTTTATGCATTTTTCTATTTGTATGTTCGGCCTCCCTACCCACGGGGTAGGGGTAAGGTCTGCGTACACTCTACCCTCCCCAGACCCCACTAGTGGGATTACTACTGGGTTGATGTTGTTGTTTGTTGCTATTTGTATGTTCGTTAAAACTTGCTCTTTTAGCATCTATGGATGTTTTTGGTTCATGTGATTTTTTCTTGATTTTCTCTCAAAGGTAAATACCGAATCTCAATTTTTGTCAAATCTAGTAAACTGGGGAACCAAAACAAATTTGGTAACATAACATATTATCTTAACATCTTTCAGTTTGTGTTTGCTTTCACGGATTTCCTTAAACTTGACTTTATGGGTTGTCGAACAAAATAGAAAATAGTGCCGAAGTTTTCAGTTTTGAAATTAGTCCCCAAAACTAAACTGGAAAACCCATCTTCCGGTCATTTAACTCCCTAAACACATGACACACAAATATTCTTTAAAGACTTGAGACAACTATGACTTCATTCATAACGAAGCACATCAAGATCTTTCAAGTCTCTTTTGTGACAAATGTCATCTTTTTGACGTCTTTTTGTCATGAATGTTTTAAACTGTTACATTCATTAAGTTTTCTTTGGCATGTTTCCGCATCTTTAAATTGCTATGGAGCTTCCTTTCGATGTCTTTTCATTAGTCCTTCGTGATACTTTCTCCACCACTGAATACATAATATCCCCTTGTGTTTTCAATATCTAGGCCTGTAACTAATAATTTCCTTCACCGTTTGAAATATACACTTGGCTATAACAACTAGCTGGGGTTAAGGTTTATTCATGATGATACCCTTAGATCTAGTGTTTGCTAGTAGGTCTTTAGTTTATGATGGAGATCTGTATGTTGGTAGAAAAAATAGAGAGCCTTTGATGGGAATCTATATAGTTGAACCCCAAGTCCCCAACTAGCTTGTGATTGAGGCGTACTAGTTGCTCTAAAGTATGTTTTTAAGAAAAAACTTCCATTGAAGTCTTAATATGTCAAATATTCTCCCATTCTCCCAACCTACACTAACAATAATTGAAACTCCCAAGAATAACCTTCTCATACAAAAGATGATGTGGCCAAAGTTGAAAAGATACCTAAAGACTTCTGTTTGAACACTATTTTCTAGCCAAATGCTTGTATGGCCTTCTTTCTTTTTCTTCGTTTTTTCTTTTTCCTTTTTTATCTGACTGTCTGGTGGTGAAACTCTTAGAAATCCTGTTGATATTGCAATCTGATGGCAGGGTAACAAGAAATCACTTGCTGACAAGTTCGAATATGTCATGCATGGGAAGCTATATAGGATCTCAGAGGAAGGTTCAGGAAAGCATGTTAAAGCGTATGTTTGGATAACTTTTCTCCTATAATTAATCTCATATTCAATTCCATGAACTAAATTTGTATTTCTGACATGTTCTTGCCTTATCATTTGTGCAATACTGTCACACTTTAGCAATATCTGCTTTGCTTCTTGTTTCCGAGTGCTGATATGGAATTAGCTTAGATTGACTTCTTAGGTCTCCTAAGATTAGTTTCTAAATGCCATTTCCTTTGGTTTATGTAACTTGTTTTTAGCACTATAGTTCTTCTATTGCATTTAATCGTGGAGTATAAATGTACTTTCCTATACTTGTTTTTTTTCTGTTTTCATTTTTGTGCTAGAAGTTTTGCCTTTTTTTCTATCTTATTGTTAAATATCTTTCAGTTTTAACATTTAAAGTCAGTGTTTGGGAGTTGTCTATGTTCTGGTCATTGGGACCAAGTGATTTACTGTTTTTCTATAAGCCAGCAAGAATTTTATGAATATAACAATGGATTTACTGGTTTTCGTTGTTGTTCAGAGACATTTTTGTTTCATTTGGAGGACTTCTGATGCAGCTGAGAGGAGATCCATCCATCGCAGCTAAATTTGAGCTTGACCAGAAGCTGTTCCTTCTCCTAAGGAAGGTTTGATGTAAAGAATTGGTAATATTAACCCAATTTTAACTTTAAAAGGAGATGGAGTATTTGTAAGCTAAGCTACTGGCACGTTATAAATCGTGTGTGTGGCGCAGTTTCAAGGATACAAAAGAATATAACTGAGATAATAATAATGGAGACCAAGGAATGGAACTCTATTTATGTTGTTGAGGTGTGGGAAGCTAATGTGCAGTTATGATCCTTGTATCTCGTGAAATTAAAGAAAAAAATATATTTTCCTACTAGTATTCTGTGATGAACAAAATTAGAACTCTTATCAACTGGTAACATAGTTGCAGTCCATGAACGAACTGTTATTATCACGAGCCTTGTGTGTTTGAACATCTTCCTATTTGCATTTTATATTTGGATACCTATATGAGATAGAAGTGGGATTGAATAAATTTATAAGAACTGCTTGTGTTAATATCTTCATTGTATGCATTAGGAAGAGGTTGCTACAGATTTGAAACCAAGTGAAATAAATATAATCTGATTCGCAGAAATGTGTACTTGGGTGCTTGGGCTTCCCAATAACATAAACAGTTGTGTTCTAAGTTGTAAAAGTTAAAAGGGACAAAGTGCAATATAAAAGAAACTTTGCATACATTTGGGGTGTAAAATACAAAGAACTCTCACCTACACAACTAAGATTCTATTTTTATAACTGATGTTTTGGATCAATTTGTGTGCACCTTGGCAGAGGCGGATCCAGGATTTGATGGTTGCGGATTTCACTGCATTTAATATATAGTAACTAGTAGTCAAGGTGGTTGAATTTGGGTATACATGCATTTGGTCAGTTCGCTCTATTTTAAATTAATTTAGTTCAATTCGATCCATTTTGAATTAATTTGGTTTACTTTACAAGATCTTTTGGTGCATAAATAAACACATGATAACCAAATTGAATATATTTGGTCCTTTCAAGGAAAAAATAATACTAACTAAATAAAAAAGAAAAATGTTTAAAAGCATATAAAAAAAAAGAAACTGAGATCTAGAACAAAAGAACATAAGCAAATATACCTTTTTAATCTAAATAACTAATAAACATGGAATTGTACATAGAGAGAAAATACAAAGTGAAAATAATAGAATTCAAGAAAAAGAGAAGTAAAAAAGGTAATCCGGAAAGAGGTAACACAATAAAGTAAAATTGATTCTACAATATGAGCAAAATGAGGGTTGATCTTGGGTATTGGGCCTGCCAAGGGTTACTTTGACAATGACACCTATAACCATTTTGTTACTTGGGGTGCCATTATTTATTTATATATCTTTTTCACGTGAAATACTAGTAAAATACATGGGTGTAAATAAAATTTTACCGGAGCAACCGGGTGGCGTACCACCGTCTTCCCCTGCACCTTGGTTGAAGAACCTGAAATTTTCAAGGTGTTACTCCTATGCCTCCTCTCAACTATCCCACTGAGTGTTGTAAGTGAGATTCGAACATAGAATCTTCAAGCTGTTACTTCTATGTCTCAGCCACTCAAGGACGAGGTATCTAATAGACATATTTTTTTTCCTCTTTTTTTTGGGATACAGATACCTACCTAAGCGAGAGGGTGATCATTCATTCACCTTGCAATTGTGAAATCTGTTCTGGTAAAATTGTTGCTTAGCCAAACATTAATTAAAGTATGAAAAAAGGTCAAAATTATCCCTATTATTTGGTAAATGGTTTACATTTACCCTCCCGTCCACGTATGGGTCTAAAACACCCACCACGCCCACCTATACTATACCAACTCTCCATATTTATGTTTGTCCACCCCAGCAAGATAAGTAGTTTTAGTGGTGATAAATATATGATAATGCATTAGTGAGTTGTGGGAAGTAGCAATGGTTTTAGCTAGTGCATCTCCATCTTCTTCAATCACTATGATAGATTGCACAAAATAGTAAAAGACCAGTAATATTTTCCATTAAAACATACATACATTAACCACATATGTTGTAATACCAACCATTTCCATTAACACCGAGATGCATACATTATTCTTGATTAACTGTGATCAAAGCACAAACTACTTGCATAACGTCATACATTATTACACGAAACGCAACATGCAACAATTACTTAAAGACGACTAGACTTCCTCTATGTTAATTATTTTTCAGCTATTACTTGAGCTGCGTTTTGAAAAGGAACCAGGGCAATCTGATCGTCCAAAATGAAATGACAAAACGGTTTGTCTCCTGGCTCAATGTTGAGCAATAAAAAGGGCAATGCCTTAGGGTTCATGGCTACAGTTTCCTCATAATAGACTTGTCTACCCTCTCAAAGACGGATAACAATTGAGTTTATATGTGATTTTAAGGATATGTGGATTAATTCAATACAAGTGATTATTGACATTAGATTAAGTAAATGAAAGACGTAATAAATGACCGAACCAATGATAAGGATGATTCCGAGCTCGGTTGATGGCTCGATGAAGAACCTGCCCTCGATTCCAAGCTTGTACTTATGAAGAACTTAAGAACAAAAATAAGAACTTTGAACAACAAAGAGAATAGAAATAAATTACCTTGATATGCGTATTACAATATGTCCCATGAATAATAAGATTTTTCCTTTATATAGTAGGAGAGTTTTACACTAAGCACAATTCTAAGAAAGGTAAAAATCTTCTGTTTCGCTAATCACTGATTTCTGCCGATACGGGCCGAGATTCACGCCGTGATATCCGGTTGGGCAAAGACATCGCGGCCCTTTGTTAGTCGTGTGCAGCTATTTGGTAATGCTCTCTGAAGTCTTGATCCTCGAACTGGACCCAGAAGACATGACCCCGATATCCCCGAGGGAAGGTGTTTAGCCCGATCCCCAATACGAGGGGCTCCTCGCTCTAACTCCAATTCATTACGGTCACGTTCTTGCTCCATTTGACTTACCGGGAAATCGAGGTGTTCAGTGAGCCTGATTTTACCCGTATACACATAGTCTCCTCGTTTCTCAGAGAGTAAGTTTGCCGAAATGATAGGAAATGACAAATGACTTTGTTTCTTTTCTTCGTATGTATAACGACCCGGCCGGTCGTTTCGAGAGTTATAGCCCCTATTCCTGCTTATTTATGTGTTATTTAGCTGTATTGTGTTGTAACGGGTTGGTTGGTTCAAGTCCGGAGTGGTTTCAGAGTGGAATGAGATACTTAGTCTCTAAAGTAGAAGCTTAAGTTGGAAAAGTCAACCGGATGTTGACCTATGTGTAAACGATCTCGGATTTGAATTTTTATGATTTCATTAGCTCCGTTAGATAATTTTTGACTTAGGAGTTCGTCCGGAATGTGATTTGGAGGTCCGTAGTAGAATTAGGCTTGAATTGGCGAAATTGAAAATTTGGCAATTTTTGGTCGGCAGTGAAAAATTTGATATCGGGGTCGGAATGGAATTCCGGAAGTTAGAGTAGGTTCATAGTGTTATTTGTGACGTGTGTGCAAAAATTGAGGTCACTCGGACGTGATTTGGTCGGTTTCGGCATCGGTTGTAGAATTTGGAAGTTTTAAATTTTTAGGCTTGAATCCGAGGGTAATTTAGTGTTTTGATGTTGTTTTGAGTGTTCCGAAGGCTCGACTAAGTTCGCACATTGATATATGACTTGTTGGTATTATTGGTTGAGGTCACGAGGGCCTCGGGTGTGATTCCGGGTGGTTGACGAATTTTTGAAGTTGAAAAAATATAGCTGAAGCTGCTGCTACTGGTATTTCCGTACCTGCGGAAGGGGAGCCGCATGTGCGAAGTCGTAGGTGCGTGTGGGAGTTCGCGGGTGCGGACAGCGTGGGGGTAGGCTAGGTCCGCAGGTGCATAGGAGAAACCGCATCTGCGAGTCAGCAGATGTGGATAGGTGCCCGCAGATGTGGAAGAAAAGAGTGTGGCTGTTTCCGCAGAAGCGGAGAAATATGCACAGGTGCGCGTCCGCAGGTGCGAGATGTTGGGCCGCAGATGCAGAACCTGGGCTCCTAAGTGAGTTCCGCACCTGCGATGTATATTTCCACAGGTGCGGTGGCGTAGAAGCGAGAATTGGTCCGCAGGTGCGAAAAGCCCGGGCAGAAACCATAAATAGAACACTTCACGAATTTTGTTCATTTTCACCATTTTTCAAGTCGGTTTTGGAGCTTTTGGAGTGATATTTGAAGGGTGATTCAAGGGCTATCAGTGAGGTAAGTTGCTTGAGCCCTAATACTCGTATATATGGTGATTTCCCGTTGTTTAATCATGTAATTAGTAAAAATAAGGGGTTAGGGCTTGGGATTTTGGAGAGTTTAATTTAAGGATTTGAGGGACCAAATGATGTCGGATTTTGATAAATTTTGTATGTATGGACTCGTGAGTGAATGTGTTTTCTAGTTTTGTATTTTTTCGAATTTCGAGACGTGGACCCAGGGACCGGGTTTGAGCAAATTTCGGGGTTTAGGCTAATTTGATAGTTTTTCTTGTGAAATTCATTCCATTAGCGTATATTGATGGTATTGTACTGATTGTGAATAGATTCAGAGCATTTGGAGGCCAAGTCGAGAGGCAAGAGCATTGCGGGGTAGAGATTTGACTGTTTTGAGGTAAGTAACGATTGTAAATCTAGTCCTGAGGGTATGAAACCCCGAATTTCGTATCATTTTACTATTTTGAGGTGACGCACATGCTAGGTGACATGCGTGTGGGCGTGAACCGTTGGGGATTGTCACTTGGTACGTCCTATAACAACTGTAAAGTTGCATATTTTGTTGAAACTGTATGATACTTATGTGTTTTAGAAATAGTTTCTGTAAATTGGGCTGAATGCCATGTTTTGGGCCTTGTGCCAGTGCTGTTTAGACCCTTAGGGGCCTTTTCTTATTATCCTCTCACTGTTTTCGATTGAAAACCTATACTCAGTCATGGTTATACATGTTTACTGCATAACTTAGTTTTTCTTACTCTATTTTGATGCATATAAATGTTGTTTTGGGCTGAGTACCATGTTTTTACTGAAATGCCCGAGTAGCTTGAGAGGTTTATGACTGAGTGAGGCCGAGGGTGTGATTTGTGAGGATATTTATGGGGTCGGGCTGCACGCCGCAACATGTTTGATATAGGCCGAGGGCCTGAGTGATTTATGCCATGATTTGGCTTGATATAGTGCTTGGGCTGAAAGAGCCCCTCCGGAGTCTGTACACACCCCCAGTGAGCGCAGGTACCTACTGAGTGCGAGTGTTGAGTGCTGAGTGATTGGGAGACATATGCGATTGTGAGGTATGCCCGAGTGGCATGAGTGATTATGAGGTATGCCCGAGAGGCATGGGTGATTGTGAGGTTTGCCTGAGGGGCTGTATACGAGTGATGTTGCCCGAGGGGATGTTTA